CACACACACACACACACACACACACACACACACACACACACACAGGTGGTTGTGTCCACAGATGCAACAGGGAAGCTACTGGCAGAGGCAGAGTTCATTAGTCAGGGATTAACACCTCCAACAGAGTGCCAGTGATGCTAGTTTTATTTACACCAGTAATACAGTCTTTTCAGAGCCCTACAGAGTTCACTAGCACTTTTTGAATTCATCTACCGCATATGATAATTGACAGGGTCCACCCTCAGAGTAGCTCGTGTGACATTAGGCCCCCCCCCCACCTTCACCCATATTCCACCCTGCGGGCCTCTTGAGAAGTCCTGCATCATTTGAACAGCTTTGTGGGCTGTGATTGACTGGAGGGAATACTTGTCTACCCGCCGTTCAGCGGGGCTCCTTTCTCTCATGTGCTTTTTCACTCTCCCTCACAAGCCTTTCCGGAGACCAGCCCACTGACTGACAGGACCACTGTAGTAGAACCGTGTTCACCAGGGACCAGTCCAGGTCACGGATTACCCCCAGTATGCATCCTTCAATGCATTCAGTGCTTTAAGGCTGGAGGAAGACAAAAAAAAAAAGCCAGACTGTGACAGAAATAACGCAACATACATGCAAGATATCCCTGTCAGATCCTTTGACATGTAGCCTCAGCACTGCGTGAGCAGACAAATGTCACATGTTAATACGTGTTCTATCTTTTGATTACTGCTTAAACAGTTGGCATTTTATTTACTTTAAAAAGGTGGCGTGTTTTCATGCCAACAAATCCAATTTCTAACTTCTATTAAACCTGTTCAGGTAATTAACATTCTCTATGTTGTTTAATTTAAGAACAGCAACAAATTGCAAACAGGTTGGGCACCAAAGGGGTTGGAAATATGCTAAAAAGTGTTGTGGGTGAAACATCACTTACAATTTTCGTAATTGTTTCGTGGGAAAAAGCATTTACCAGTAGAAGCGTCTTCTAGGAGGCAGTAGATTTCAATGCTCTGCAAATACAATTTCAGAATCACGTATCGCCATGCAAAACTGCAAAGAGCAAAGGCTACCTTTTCAAACATTAAACCAGCTGAAATTGGGTTTGCATGAAGACTGAAAATTCAAAGCATTTTACAAATCATTTGT